TTGAGACATAGACCAAAGGAACAGAATAGAGAACCCAGAAATAAAACCATTTAGCTATGACCACCTCTTTTTCAACAAAGCAGACAAAAACATACACTGGAGAAAGGATGCCCTATTCAATAAATGGTGCTGGGAAAATTGGATAGTCACATGTATAAGAACAAAACAGGAACTCTATCTCTCACCATACATGAAAATCAATCCAAAAGGGATAAAAGATTTAAATGTATTGCATGAAACTCTAAAAATACTAGAAGTAAACATAGAAAATACTTTTAGACATCTGCCTAGGCAAAGAATTTATGACTAAGACCCCAAAGGCAAATACAACAAAAATAAATAAATGGGACTTACTTAAATTAATAAGCTTCTGGACAGCAAAGGAAATAATCAGCTAAGTAAACAGGCAACCTACAGAATGAGAGAAAGTATTCACAAACTGTACATCTGATAAAGGACTGACGTCCAGAATTTATGAAGAACTCAAACAAATCAGTAATAAAAAAACAAACAACTCATCACAAAGTGGACCAAAGACATGAACAGAAGTTTTTTAAAAAAAATAGACAAATGGCCAAAAAACGTATGAAAAAATACTCAATACCACTATTGTCAGGAAAATGCAAGTTAAAACCACAGTGAGATACCACCTTACCCCTCTCAGAATGGCTATTATCAAAAAGTCAAAAAGCAATAGATGCTGGCATGGATGCAGATAAATTCTTATATACAGTGTTGGTGGGGTTGCAAGTTAGTACAACCTCTATGGAAAATAGTATGGGTAGTCCTGAAAGAAATACGAATAGACTTATCATTTGATCCAGCAATCCCACTACTGGGTAACTACCCAAGGGAAAAGAAATAATTTTATCGAAAAAACACCTGTACTCAAATATTTACCACAGCACAATTCACAATTTCAAAGACATGGAATCAAATTAAGTGCCCATCAATTCAAGAGTGGATTAAAAAATATTACACACACACACACACACACACCACAGAGTACTACTGAGCCATAAAAAGGAATTAAATAATGTCTTTTGTATCAATGTGGATGGAACAGGAGACCATTATCCTAAGTGAAATATATCAGCATAGAAATATACCACATGTACTGTCCAATAATTGGGAGCTAAACAATGGACACATCTGGGCACAAAGAGATGTAAAGGTCATTGGAATCCAAGAAGGGGGGACGGTGGGTGGATGAGCTGTAAAAACTTACCTAGCATGTACCATGAACACTATTCTGGTGATGGACACACTAAAAGCCTCAATTTAAACCTTATCCAATGTATCCATGTAGCAAAAACATTTGTACCCCCTTAAAATTTTGAAATAAGAAAAAGTAACAAAATAAAATGGAAAGTAACTAAATGGAACACAATTTAGAGTCACTTTTACTATTTAAATCTGAATCTGAATGGTGTTCTCTTAGTATTACCCCTTACTCTTAGATATAGTTTCCCTTCCTTTAGGTATTTTCCAATCTAAAATAGGAGAATAAAAACATGCATTATTAGTTATGCTAAAATGTACTATCAAGTATGTACAGAGCACAATTTTGGTCAAAGAGGAAAGAGATTCCAAATTTGCTGAAGAAAATAAATCACAGAAGGTTTCAATAATAGTGTGACATCGAATAGTACCTTGAATATTAGGAAGTAGGGCATAGCTGGAACACGAACAAGAATAAGTACAGAGACAAAGATGTAGAAAGACATTGCAGATCAAAGGAAAATCCAAATGAAAACATAGAAGGTGGTGAGTTGGAGGATGGGTTTAGGAAAGTTGGGATCATATCATGGAATATCTTGAAAGTCAAGTAAGGAATCAACGCTTTACCTTTTTATTTCATTTAGAATACCTGAACCTGATTATCTATATCGCCAGCCTAATCTATAGAACCTTAATCACTTAGTCCCATTTTACCGCTGATTGCAGAAGATTCATCTACAGTAATACCTAAAATGAACTGCAGACATGCGTAGAGACACATGAGTTGGGGCTCCGTTAGATGACTATGCCAGTAATCTAATCAAGAGAATACTGTAGTAGCCCATTTATCGGGCATAAGTAATAGGACTTGAAAGTAAATTTTTGAATCTCAATTATTTTCCTTCCCTACACAATCTTTTACTAAGAAGGGACAATTACAGGATACTCATTAGGCTGTGTGCAGGGAAACAAACTTAAATGTGAAACAATCCCTTTCTTCAAGAAGCGCATAGTCCAGAGGAAAATAGAAACCAGACAAATATATGGTACTTCATGAAGTCTTACTTTTTCTAAGTTATGTCAAACATTGATAATGGATACTCAGTCAATCTTGGGGAATTCGGAGAAGGCTATTTGGAAGATGTGAGGGTGGAGATGATTTATAATGTAACAACAGGAGTTAAGATGCAGAAGGGGGAAGAGTAACATAACAGACCTAGAAGTAACAGAACGCCTGGCCAGAGTGAGCAGCAAGAAGATTCTGGAGCTCTGACTTTTACATTTTTAAAACAATGATGAATTGGCAAAAGACGAAACCAGAAAGTGGGATGTGTAAGTAGGAACCAGATAGTGAAGAAAAACAGTAGGCCATTCTGAGGAGCAGCCTATCTCCTATAGGAAATCACAAAGCACTGAATGATATTAGAGAAAAAAAAAACACAAAAAAATAAACCTCCCAAATGGAACAATGGTGTAGTCAGGATTGCTCTTTAGAGAGTACATGCAGGAAGTTCTATAGGCAATGTTTCTATAACTAGGTCAAAGCTAGAGGCAAGGAGACTTGCCAGCAGGCAATTTTATACACTAGAAGAAAAGGGAAAAAAGATGATGGGGTCCATACTAATATTCAATTTTCAAGTTCTTGCCTATAATTCTACATGCAAATGTAATGATTTTTGATGACCTCATAATTGATATTTTACTCGAGTCCATTTTAATTTTACTTTAAAATAGCTTAACAATTCTCAGTAATAGAACTGCCCAAACGAAGAGTTGGTGGTTCAACATTTTAGAAAAGGACACCTGGTAACAGTACAAACCAATATATGGACTCCTATTTCAAATCTGGGCTAACTACTATGCAATATAAAACCCAAATAAGCTTGCAAAGTAGGTTTACTCTCTTTTGGATTTGATTTCCCTTCCCCAAAACAGTGGTTATGCACATACTGCAAGATTCAATGTCATAGAATAGAATGTATTAGGGAGCAAAGGATGGAATGAAAAATTATCTCTATGCAGCAAAATCTCTTTAGAAAACTAGAGGGCCTGCTTCGCTTTTACAGAGCAGGTTCCCTGGTCCTTACAAAGTCAGTCGAAAACACAGATAAAGAATAAAGGGTCTTTTTCTTAAGATTTTAAACATTAAAATGCTTTGATAAAAATAAATATATTTGAAAACCAAGATCTTAAACAGTGATAAATTCATTGTTAATTCATTTGAATTTTTGAATAAAAAAACTCATTTTATTCTATACTCATATCTTATATAAGAAGTGATAGAATTCAAAAAGGGTACTAACCAATTGAAATCCAAGTAAAGACTCCCAGAAGATAGCATAGCCATTTCAGGAAAGAGAAACCTCTAGGTTAGACATCATTCATAATGATTGATACCATGTTGCTATATTGGAAACAGTCAACTAATAACCATAGTAAGTATTAAGAATCAAAGACCAAAGGATCTAAAAAAATAAAGAAAAAGAAAAATACAGTGGCTGGCCAAAGTGCTAAAACAAAACTTAATAATATTATAATTCTCATCAGTTATGGAGGAACTACCATGAGTCAAGGTATTAATATGTATTTATTGATTGATTGTCTCATTTAATCCCCTCTGCTAACCTCTGAGGTCCTTACAGGTTGAGACACAAATTAAAAGAGGGTAAATACTCTCTCTTAATACTTCCCGCTGTGACACAAGGGTATACAAGAACTAAAATATGAACCCAGCTCTTCTTGACTTAAAAGTTTGATTTCCTTCGATGTACAAGAAGCTTGTCTTCCAAATGCCAATAATTGCTCTTTTCAGGGAGGAATGGAACAAGAAAATCATTACTTTAAGACAAGAATTTTCTGAATACTAAATATTGTCAGCAAAATTGAACTTGTGCTTTAAATGCTACCACAGCAAAAATGGATCAAGAGGTGGAGTCCAAGTGCTCAGCCAGGTTCACTCACTGGCTAAGGAGCTCTCTCTGAACTTCAGTATCACAATGTACACATTTCAAATTTGAACACCTGAAAAATGACAAATCACTACATGTCGTCCATCATCCCCTTCAGGAATGGACATGAATAGTCAAAACCACATTGTTCAATCTTTGAATGTCAAAGGCTACTGAACTGCTGGAGAAAAAGGTTAACAACTATGCAAAATATTGTGAGGAATTAGGTAACTAAAAACTCCATGATTTCCAGGATGCTGTTATTTAATCAGTTAATAGCAAAGTAACAACCTTGACAGTAAAACTGTTTAATATGCCCAGGAGGAAAAAAAACAACCTGCAAATTATTTAAAGACTGTCAAATGCCTTTCAAACAACCTGGAAACAGACAAAATAAACAGTTTGGAGACAGCTGAGAGAATTTTGGGACAGCTGAGATAGGCAAGGGTATGGAGGTATGGACAGAGGAGAGAAAGAGAGAGGAATAGAATAATAGACTCATCCTTAAGAACAGCAGTATCATTTCTACCTTCAAATACAAGAATAATCTTATCCAATCCAGATCCATGGACAACAATAAAACCCAAACAAAACAACAAAAAAGAGTCTCTGTATGTCTTTTTAAAATGTATCACATTAGACATAGATAATTTATAAGGCACAAAGCTATTCAGCATGAGTGTATGACCATGGACCATTATTATGGTAATTATAGAAGTTAACAGTGACTGAGACTCATAGCCACACTCTCAAAGCTTGCAGTCTCATAGAAAGGAAACGTCATGTGTATAAATGTCTATCTAAACCTTGAGGGATTTCTCACTTTGTAAGATGAAATATAACGAGAAGGTTAGAAGACAGATGGATATTAAAAAGGCCTATAGAAAACAAGCCCTGCAGCTTCATCCTGACCGGAACCCTGATGATCCACAAGCCCAGGAGAAATTCCAGGATCTAGGTGCTGCATATGAGGTTCTATCAGGTAATGAGAAACGGAAACAATATGATGCTTATGGTGAAGAAGGATTAAAAGATGGTCATCAAAGTTCCCATGGAGACATTTTTTCACACTTCTTTGGAGATTTTGGTTTCATGTTTGGAGGGACCCCTTGTCAGCAAGACAGAAATATTCCAAGAGGAAGTGATACTATTGTAGATCTAGAAGTCACTTTGGAAGAAGTGTATGCAGGAAATTTTGTGGAAGTAGTTAGAAACAAACCTGTGGCGAGGCAGGCTCCAGGCAAACGGAAATGCAATTGTCAGCAAGAAATGCAGACCACCCAGCTGGGCCCTGGTTCCAAAGCAGTTCACCCTGCTTCCAAATGACCCAGGAGGTGGTCTGCGATGAATGCTCTAATGTCAAACTAGTGAATGAAGGACAAACATTAGAGGTAGAAATCAAACCTGGGGTGAGAGACAGCATGGAGTACCCATTTATTGGAGAAGGTGAGCCTCACATGGATGGGGAGCCTGGAGATTTACGGTTCAGAATCAAAGTTGTTAAGCACCCAATATTTGAAAGGAGAGGAGATGATTTGTACACAAATGTGACAATCTCACTAGTTGAGTCTCTTGTTGGCTTTGAGATGGACATTACACACTTGGATGGTCACAAGGTACATATCTCCCGGGATAAGATCACTAGGCCAGGAGCAAAGCTATGGAAGAAGGGGGAAGGGCTCCCTAGCTTTGACAACAACAATATCAAGGGCTCTTTGATAATCACTTTTGATGTGGATTTTCCAACACAATAGTTAACAGAGGAAGCAAGAGAAGGTATCATACAGCTACTGAAACAAGGATCAGTGCAGAAGGTATGCAATGGACTGCAAGGATATTAAGAGTGAATAAAATTGGACTTTGTTTAAAATGAGTGAATCAGCAATATTTATTATCTGCAGGGTTTTTTGTCTGTGTTTTTGTTTTTATTCTCAATATGCAAGTTTGGTTTAATTTTTTTTATAATGATCGTCATGAAATGAATAAAGAGGGCTTAAGAATTTGCCCATTGCATTCAGAAAAGAATGACCAGCAAAAGGTTTACTAATACCTCTCTCTCCCTTTGGGGATTTAATGTCTGGTGCTGCCACCTGAGTTTCAAGAATTAACGCTGCAAGAGGACTCCAGGAGCAAAAAGAAACACAACATAGAGGGTTGGAGTTAATTGTTAACTATCTCATTCAAAATGCCAACTGGAGAAGTCTGTTTTTAAATACATTTTGTTGTTATTTAAAAATAATAAAATAAAATAAATCCAGCATTGAAAAGAGGAATTCCAGGAAGACTACATGGAGGAAGTGGCATTTAAATGTTTACATTCTATGTGTGCTTCAAAGTCAATTCAGAATTTTGGAGTGCAGACTGAGGGAAATTAAAAAATAGAGCTTTCCAGTGGAGAGAAAACAAAAGTAAAAAAAAAAGAAAAAAGCACTGATTGAATGTAACTCTCCAGCATCATGTTAATATACCAAGAGTTTTATCTTAAGTAATTCACAAAAAACTTAATTAAAATATTGAAATATGTAAAGAACTTTGACTATAAATTGGAACAAAATCAAGGTTATTCTTAAAATATTTTAGTTTCCCCACAAAAGAGTATGTCACAGTGAGTTAGTGAAAAGAGTCGAAAGGGGAAGGTATGTTTAACAGACCTTGTAATAGGAATTATCGTGTTTTTAAATCAGAGAAGATATACTGAAAGAGTAAGGTCTCAGGCTTCCAAGAGTAAAACCAAAGTCAGACTAGATTCTGCAGAAAGTGCTATATATTTGTCACTAACTCATAGGGAGTGGAGGGGAACAAGGAAGTGTCAGGGGCCTTGGAAGAAGGAACTTAAGTCACTAAACTGCTTCTTCTTTTCTAGCTACATCTCTCACTGGGATGAATTTATTCTCTGGTTCACTTCTTTTGCATGGATGGAAATGTAACTATTGGCAGCATCTGTATTCACATCTCCTTCACCAACAGAAAGGAATTGAAGTGCAATGTGTTTTCTCATTCCAAATTTAAATATTAATAATAATAACAAAAAGCACCGATCTGTCCATCAACTGGAACAATGAGAGTGAATTATTCTAATTGGTTAGGCAAGATTTCTACTCAGTTATTTATAATATACATGAAAATGACAGCATCCACTCTTTTTTTTTTTTTACTTTATTAAAATACTGGGTTTATTTCACATGTATATTTTTGTCTCCCCACCATTTCCACGTCTGACCACTGCTACTACTATGTCCTATCATAACATTCCATACATACTTAAAACCAAGCAAAGGGTGGATTTCCATCTTTAAAAACTAAACAGGCATTTTGGACAGCACATTCTTGGCAATGGAACCTGGACAACATTTATCAAACACGGTAGGGAAAGTTCTCACTCTGCATTATAAAAAGGACAGCCAGATATCAACTGTTACAGAAATGAAATAAGACGGAAAATTTTAACAAATTGTTTAAACTATTTTCTTAAAGAGACTTCCTCCACTGCCAGACATCTTGAATAGCCTCCTAGTCAGTCATCCGAAAGCAGTTCTTCACATAATTGATGAACTTCGCTTCCACTTTGGGAAGAGAACCACCCTTTTCTATACTTGCTTGCATTTTTGCCTTAATGTCTTCTACAGAACTAGGTCCTTTTGGTGTTTTAGGAGTTTTTTCCTGTTTTTTGAAGGATTTTTGACCCTTTGATCTTGGTGTTGATGGTTTTGAGTCTTTTCCATTCTGGTTTGATTTCTGTGCATTTTTGGCTAGAGTGTCTCGTACAGATTTCTTCACTGGAGCTTTTTCTTCAGTTTCCTCATCATCAAACTCATCCTCATCATCATCTTCTTCATCATCATCTTCATCATCATCATCTTCATCAGCAGCAAGTTTTACTTTTTTCTGTGGAACCTTGCTACCACCTCCAGGAGCAGATCGCTTCCCAGATATACTTAAGAGTTTCACATCCTCCTCCTCTTCATCTTCTGACTCTGCATCTTCTTCCACAGCTACTAAGTGCTGTCCACTAATATGCACAGGCCCTGAACCACACTTCAACCGTAAGACCACCGGTGGTGTTATTTCAAAGCCCCCAAGGGAAACCGTTGGCTGTACAGACATTTTCAAAGTTGCCAGTGTTACTTTAATTGGACTGCCTTCATAATTCATTGCCTCTGCTTCAACAATGTGCAATTCATCCTTTGCACCAGCCCCTAAACTGACCGTTCTTAAAGATAACTGGTGCTCATTTTCATCATTATCCACCTTAAAGTGATAATCTTTGTCGGCCTTTAGTTCACAACCGAAAAGATAGTTCTGGGGCCTCAGGGGGCTCATGTCCATGTCCATCGAATCTTCCATGGGGTGGTGGCACGCACTTAGGTAGGAGAGAAGGTGGATGGAGATACACGACTACTGCTCCAAAGAACAGCCGCGCAGGACGGAATCACACCCAGCATCCACTCTTAATGATTCTTCTGTAAAATTTCCAGTAGAATTCAAGAAAGATGCAATAAAAATGATAGAATTTGGGGAAGTTCCATAAGCTTACTTTCATGTGGGATTGGAGGGAGGAGAAGTATATAAGTTTAATGCTAAACACAAAAGTTTTCAAAGCTCCAAAAAGTCTACTTACAAAGTCTGAATTCATAGTTAAAGGAATGATACTATAAGCCACATGTGATAGATAGATATATAGATAGAAATATACATAATATAAATCTAGATAGAAATATTTATTTGATTTTCATACAAGCCAGGTAACTTTTTTCTTTCCTAAACATACATACATATTTCTGCCTATATTAATCAAAATGGTACTATTTATTTTTCTATTTTTAATAAATGTTGTCTTTTTTATACAATTCAAGAATATTTTTTCCTTTTTCTCTTAGAGAAAAACTCTTCAAACCAGATGGTCGATCTTAATTAATTCTTATCACAGAGACATCTTTGTCATAAAGCATTTTTCACAGTTGAACAGTATTATATAAGCCCCTTTGTTTACTGAATTACTAAAAGAATGATTTTTCATGAGGGAAGCAGTCACTGTAATTTTATCTTTTATTTCTTCAACTTCCTTGGCACTTAAAAGCAATTATAACATTTAGGCTATTGAGTCTTCACTGAAGCAAGAGACATGTTTGTTTTAAATGCTTATGCTTTCAAAAAAATGAATTTTTCAGGATTTTTATGTACTGTAGTGTTTAGTTTCAAAATAAATATTACAAAGGCTACATTTGTCAGCAGGTTGTCTATCTATATGCTTAAAACTTGTGCTTGCCATCAAGGCATCCAGTGCATGGAAGTTTTCATTCTTTTTCTTTTTCTTCCCTTGCCTTCCATATTACCTCAACATCAAGTCAAATCATCGGATACTTATGCCATAAAGAAACATTTTTTCTAAAACAGACAAGCACTTAATGCTTCAATTAGATTTCAGCTAGGAAAGGTAATGCAATTATGATCTATCTGTTAATATTTTGGGAAACTTTGAGGAAATAAACAGCAAACCATGGCATGGTCTCCCCCCACCCACATACATAATACACACATTCAGGAATTTAAAATAGAATTAAATTTCTTGAAAGAAAAGTTTCCAGTCACGGAGTCCCCATAATATGGACAAAACTGAGTTTGGTGTTATTACATATTAACTTCAATTTTCAGAAAAATCCTTCAATGTCACATGGTAAGTAAATGATAAAGACAGGATCTGAATGTAGGTTGTCTGACTCTAGGAGCCGAAGTTATTTGCATTATACCACCATGTCTCCTTTCCTCCCCGACTAAAAAATATGTATTCACAGAGTTTTTAGTGTTTTTCCCCCTGAATTCATGTGGGTTGTTTTTATGGTTTCAAGTAAAATGAGTAGATTCATTTTTATTTAAATATATCATCAGAAGAAAACATTCAAATTCATCAAAACCTTCAAATTAATATGAATGAATATGCATGCAAGTGTGTGTGTGTTTTCTTCAAATTGAATTCTATTTATATAAAGGCATTGTTTCCCTCTTATTGGTTAGACTGATTAAACATGCTGATTCTCCCTCTTCTGCTTTAAGTTATCATTAAAGTGGTCATATATATTGATTTATCTATTTAAATTTATTCCACTTTTGAGATGCACTTCGCTGATACCAGGTTAACCCAGGTAATACTCCCATTAAAATGGTATATATATATATATATATATATATATATATATATTCTAAACAGCATGCATTGAAAGTGGTATGATAGTTTTCTTTTTCTGCTTGAACTCCCCATCACCTCTCTCTAATTCATTAACAGTATTGGAGAAAGGAAGGCTAAAATTCAGAGGGAAAAAGGGAATATTGCAATTTTTCAAAATTGATTTATTCATTCACTCAGCAAATATTTAATGAGCGACTTTTATGTTCTAGGCACTATGTTAGGATAGAGGTACAATGGTGAGCAAAAATATAAATTATATGTAGATATGTATGTATTTATAAATTGATAAACACAATTGCACATATTTATTATGTACAACATGAAGTGTTGTGGTATATATACATTGTGGGATGAATAACTCTAGCTAATGAATGTATGCATTACCTCACATAGTTATTTTTGTGGTGAGAACACTTAAAACTGATCTCTTAGCATAGATAAATTATTATAGATCTTATAAAACTGCTTAGAAAGTTCTTTATAAGGATGATGAAATGCAAAGAATTGTATGATATTTAATAAGTGCTTTAGTAATTTTTTTAGAGCAAAACAGTTTTTGCTATCAAAAGTATAAACCAATTGTAAAATATCATTATGCTATGAATTAACAGGCTTTGAAATATTTTAACTATTAATAATTTATTCAAGTCAACCAAATAAACCCATAAAGAAAAAAGAAACTTTTTATGCTGCTTGATAATGACATTGATGAAAAGCATGCATAATGGTATTTTGATCACAAACAATTTGAGAATTTAATCTCTGTATATTTCAGAATAATAAATACATTTTCTAGTTGCTTTTGCCTGACAAGCAGCATTGGATACTGCCTAAGGGAGAGAGAATCTGTGTGACCAGCAAGTATG